TTGAAGATGTTTGTGTGGTGCAGGTGGATATAGGAGCAAGTTTTGTGTGTTGATTTTAGTGAACCATAAACTATTATTCTTGCTCGTCCTTGACGTGGCATCAAATGCATTTCCCCACAACCAATTATCTAACTTTAGCCAAATGTCTTTGGAATGCTGAATGCATATTCGAGAAAATGATTTGTGATGATACTGAATCAATTACAAGTTCGGAATTTAATTCCCTAAATAAAATATATTGATTTGAGTTCATTTCCGGTGAAAGCAGTTGATGATTCTAGACATGTTTCCCATAGAATGGTTGAATCGTTCAAATGTGACTGTGTTAGTTGTCAATTTTTGAACCTATAATCCCCTATATGTTTGTTAGAAGTTAACTTTGTTTCTTAATATTTCATCTTAAAACTAAAGCTAATAGAGAAGATTTATGAGACTTGACTAAGAAATTGCAAGTGACCGATGAATTTTGACATTTAGGATATGGTATTGAAGGTTTGATATTTCTATGCAGATTAGAAACTTAATTCTCGCACTTGTAAAATTTAGATGTAAACTTATAAATTTAGAGTATGCTAAAGATAGCTTCTTTTTCTTCCTAAAAAGATTTCTTAAGGGACAGGATTTAGCAGGTGTCCTTCTGCCCCCCGCCAAAGTTACCCATGATGACCTTTATCTCAACTTGTGTTTTATTATTTATTACAGTCAATGATGGCCTCAATGCAAGCTTTGTCAATAGTGATTAAGAAGGCTTCAGCCAATGATTTTACTAATTCTACTGTTCTTCACCTCTTGCAAGGCTAGATATGAGTTACATAGCCACTATCATTTGAAAAGGATAATATCGATAGCTTTATCAGTTGCTTAGTCTTCATATTTGTTGACAAAATGTTTCCTTTTTTCTGGCCAAGGCCGTGACTGGTGACCATGTAGTCAGGTCGCTGTTGGAAAAGTTGACACAATGCACAAGAACAGCACATCTTGGAATGTTAAAGCCTTATCGATCACAATGTTATGCACAAGAAGCCCTCACTCATTAACCTTTATCAATTGTGGCTGGCTTCCGAATATTCATACTGGTGTTCTGTAGTAAGGTTGAATGCTCATAATATCAAATTGAGCTAATGGGGAACATTATAAAAAATTTAAACTCACTTATTTTCTTCTTCAGCCATTATTTTTTTCTTATTTTCTTCTATTAAAGAAGGATGCATATGATTATATATGTTAATGCGGCTGAAGATGAAGCTGAATTTTACCATATGCTATAAAGTTCCTTGATGATTTTCTTTATGTTATTGCCAGTATGATTTGAAGGGAAAACTGAGATCAAACAAACACTATCTTCATCATGATGAGGATGAGCTACTCATGAAAGAACTAACTATGGATTAAAACACAGAGCTTATTTATATATTATTAAGGTAGAGGTGGAATTTTGGAGTCTTCTGTGTACAATTGATATGCCACAGAAAACCATTTGGTTTTGATAAGTCATTAGGTTTACCAACTGATTGGTTCATTGTTAATTTAACAAGTCAAATAATTGAGGTATGAGAATCAAGACACAAAGTATAGACACAGTATGTATGCAAGTTTATACGCATTAACAAGAAGTAACAAATTTAGAATATGTATGCAATTTATACACAAAGTATAGACACAATATGAGAATTAAAACACAAATCAAGTATTCACAGCCGTTCAAAAAACAATTTATGATCATCAATTCAAGAAATCGAAAGTCACAGAATACACTAAGTAAGTAAATGATATCAAGATAAAGGTAAAAACCCTAAATTGATTTTTGAGACCGAAATCCTGATTCCCTCAGATTCTAGGGGTCTCTCAGGGAACCCTAGACAAAGGTAAATCAAGGGGGGTTTTCAGAAATCCCTAAATTTGTAACTTGAAAACAAGATATTATCGAGAATGCAAGATTTCAATCGAAGAACCTTTCTCACTGTAAAAGAACAATAGATCTGTTAGATCTAATATTTTTCAAAATCGCAAGAGTCACAAGAATAAATCGTAAGAAAAAAAAATTTCAAGATCTGATACCACCGTTGGTCCCAGACTAAGCGACTATTTTGTGATTCAACCAAGTAAACAAAATATAAACAAAGTAAATTGCAAGAAAGTAAGAACACAAAGGGTTTTTCGGCCCAAGGCCTCGGAGGTTCGGTGACTGCTTCCAACGCCTCATCCTCCGTTGAGCATTCGTTAAGATTTTGCTCGAATCCACTATAATAGCCCCAGAACAGGCAAGAAAGATTATTACAGAAGAGCACCTAGTAATCTGTATCTCAAACACAAAAGACCCTTAAAATACAGTAGAATCTCACTAAGAGATTGATCTTATCACTCTCTTTGCACACTAATATGATTTCACTGAAAAATTACAGATTATACACACAGTAGAATATCGCAGTCGAGAGAGGAGAGAACTAGGGTTAACACAGAAGTTGATTCCATTTCCCACAAAACTTCCCAATGAGATTTCATTTCCCACAAAACTTCTTCATTTTCGACTTTAAAAAATTGCTAGGACTTCCCAACATTATGATTGCTTCAGAAAGGGGACATATTCATCATTGTCTCCATCTTCTTTGGACGAAGATGCTTGCTCCACATTCCTTCTAATGGGAATAAAAGGAGAAGTCTTGTCTTTTTTTACTAGCTAACTAGCTTCTTCTCGCTCTCACTCTCTCCAGATCCTCGTGAGCTCCGTCCTAAGCGGCCTTGATCCCTATTTATTTTTTGCATTTCATTCTTTATTTTCCTCTCAACATATTTAAAATATTGACAGAACTAGAAGGTCTCAGCTTTCACTTATGACAGGGTGCAGTCAATGGCTGGGTCGCATTTCTTATGAGAGTAATACGATATATGTTGTCTTTAAATAAAATCTTCGGCTTTGGTCTTGCCTCCATCCCCTTAAAGAGGCAGAATTGCGTCTTTACTACATTAAGAATTGCCTCATAGTGGCGTTCTCGTCAGCAAAGCATTGCATGTTGTGTCACTACTATTTGTGCTAACCTCTACATCGTTCTTGGTGATCATCGGTTTCTTCTTCATGTGTTTGCTATAGAGACGGTAGGACTTTCATTCCTACTCGGATTCTCATTACTGTTTGATCCACTTTCAATCATGTTCTCTTACTTTTCTTTTTCTTCACGTGTTTTTCTCTTGTTGTTTTGGTAAGATTTCTCATAGACGACGCCAAACTACTGATCTCAAAAAATATATTGAATCTTCCAAAGCCAACAATGTATTTTTGTTATCTCAATTTCTCAATAGGTTTCTCCTCTTGAAATTTTTGAATCCAATTTTTTTTTTTTGTTTTGGAGAGAGAGATGAAGATTTTTCCTTTTAGAATCAATAACTTTTTTTTTAAATTCCCTTTTTAGTTGTGCAATGGCCTATTATAGAACTTTAATAAAGGCGTTTTAATAGTTTTATTACTTTATATTTTTTTCATCATTTTGTTAGAATTCATGATTAGATTTTCATTTTAAAGCATATTGATGTAATGATGTTTGTACTTTTGTGACGCTTTGTCCAGAACCATTTTGCTTGCAAGCAAACACATGGTGCACTAACATCAAAGTTAATTTGTTAGAATTTACACTGTGCGTTCATATCTAAGGCTATCCGAGACCTTCATTATGTTCCTTTTCGAGTGTTAAGAGTTTTGCATATTCATTTGCTTGGGAGAATCTTAGTGACCGAGGCATTCTTTTGTTCTAAAATTCTTCAATGATCGAGATACTAATATTCTTAATACTGAATAGGAGAAAAAGAATGGGTGTCAAACAATTTAGGGTTTATCCACTTGTACCGAGGGGGGATGACCGAATGTTGTCCCCCCCCCCTCACATGGGGCGCGAGCCCCATGTGTTTTTAAAAATGACGGCTCGTGGTCCCACCTCCTAGTGTGAGTGGGGTGTAAAGGATTATGTATAAAATTATATACATGTAGACTAACCCCTTTTTTAAGGTACCAGGTTGTAGAAGAGGTTAACACAACCTTATTCCACCAAGAAATTTGAAGAGACACAACCGAATAATTTAAAATCATAGAAAAAACAAATGGAACAAATGATCCATATCATAGTCACTAGTTATTACCAGATACAAAACAGTGTCACTAGGTGATTCTGACGAAAATATAGATAGCGATAACCTCGGTGATCATCGACATATAAAAATGGATCACCTATAGAATCATAGATGATACGAACAAAAATCAATACCAGCTTGTGATTTGAACAAAAAATATCAATAGTTATATATCAAGGATCGATGACACACATCCTTTAGCGATTATCAATGACAATGTCAATTACAATATCGTCGGCAATCGCCTACAATGCTTTGGTCCTTGATAAAGAAGCATTTATTCTTTATTCACTCTCTTTTAATATTTCATCAATCATTTATATTTTTTTTTACCACAAAGACAAGTAATCATCACTGTTATTTACTAGCACATAGGCAGGTCATCATCCAAAATTACGAATAGCATTATATATAAGAGAATGGGCTCGTGTGACGAAAAAAATTAAAATTTTATTAACTTTTCAAATAGTCGAACTTCAATTTTAGTAACTCATTTTACACGACACACAACTTTTTATCAACTTTCAATTACTCAGTCAATTTTTATCGAAATATATTTAGGGGCGAGATAAGTCAATTTTTTTCGAAATCGATTTAGAGATGAAATAATATTTTAATGGAACTATATATATATATATAGAACTCGAAAAAGGTGACGAAATTAATGTTCCTTGGTAGATGCATATATGACCATGAAATTTCAACAAGACAAAAATAAGGTCACATGCATCCTCATCCTCCTTCTATAAAAGTGAAACTCCAGTCTGTAAATAACTAATAATTATAATTAAATTAAACAAATTCATTAACTAAATTACACATTAATTAATTAATATATATTTGTTATGATTATGATACACAAAAGAAAATCACGGCTAATTTTATGCACTGTCAGAGGCGGTTTTCCAGCTCCACTGATCGGAATTAGCCACCGATGAAACGCCGGTGGAGGAGCATTTCGCCACCGTTCTAACACTCTCTATCAACGCCTCCGTGCGAGCCTCCTGTGCTAAAATCTCCGATAACTGATCCGGGCTGATAACTAACCTCACTTTCCAGACTCCGGTGCTGTTATACCTCGGAAAAACCTCGGCTTCTGATGACAGTCTCTTGAACATACCTTGATTATCGACAGACATCCTGTACGGCGGAGCCTCCATGGATGAACCAGAACCGCTGTCTTTTTGTTGGATGATGGGGAGAAGATAGTATAAATAACCTGCATGAAGCTCCTGGTTGTGAAGGAGTGGTGGTGATATTTGGTCGGGGCTGCTAAAAATGGCATGGCCGGGGAATTCGTTGGTGATGGACTCGGCCGTGATGGGGGCGTAAAGCTCCATTATACCACCGTTTGATGTTACCACTTTCACCGTTTCTTCCATCTTCGCAAACCCTTTAAACACACAATTCCCCATTGATCGTCCGTCAGATAAAAGAGATCGTTAGAATCAATTCAAATAATAACTTTTCTTAGGTATGGGGGCGTCGGTGGGATGTTTCGTGAGAGGTGCTTAATATGCCTGAGATTTAAGTTATGGCCGACACAACAATAACCAAAGCCCGTAGAATCGCTTAAAATCAAGATTTTAACTTAAGTTAAAGTGAACGGCTAATTTAATTTTAGTCATATACTTTATGGGACCCACTACTTCTCAGCCACATATTTTATTAAAGAAAAATGTTATTCATCCCCAGTGAGGATGCATTTCTAATCTATGTGGATATAAATGATTGGTTAAATGATATGTGAAATTAAATGATTTATTTAATTTCACCTATCATTTAATGCCACATTAACGTCACAGTGGGGATGAATATCATTTCTCTTTATTAAAATCTGCTAAAATTTTGATTTTAATTGCCATCAAAATCTACTAAAAATTAAAGTGTGCGGTTTTGTGAATATGGTGGACCATTGGTAGATTAAAATCAAAGTAATGAGCATTAAGATTGATGGTCACTAGTTAATAGACCGCCGTCGGATTTACAGATCAGAAATAGGATGAGTTTTCTGGTGAAAAACAACGCAGTTTGAAGGATAATGTGATGTAGAGGATCATTATAGACAAGTCAAAGGTTGTCATCAATGTGCCTGCTACTTTCGGCCTGTGCTTTTGATCAAATTAAGTGGGTATTCACTGTTGTTAGTTTTCCTATTTCTTTAATGAAATTTCTAGCAGCATCCTCAAACTTTTATAAATAGAGCACATAGGTCCCAAACTTGCATAAAGTTGGTTCCACTATTAAAAAGGAAAAGTAAAGGACAGGCAAAAAAACAACAAATTTAGCAACCAACCTAGTCACCTCCACATCCATCCTATCACCCTAACCTTCTCTTGCACAATCGGCAACAACATCCTCCATTCCATGATTGTCATCACTCTCATCCTCGTTGAAATCTCATAACTCAAATTCAACAATTACTAATTTGATAATTAATTTTCTCGAGTTACAATCACGCGTGTACCTTAAAGTTTAGAATCTAAGTGCTTGTTTGGTGATGATTAAAATCAGATTTTTAGTAAATTTTGATAAAAGTTGATGAAATATGTGGTTGAAAGGTTATGGAACTCAAAAAATATGTGGTTACGTTAATTATTGACTTCGACTTAGATTAAAATCTAAAAAATTATCACTTTAATGGACAATTTCCATGTAAAATAAAGCCAAACGAACACAAAATTTAAAAATTTTTCGGGTGGAAAATTATACCAATCAAACACACTTAATTAACAATTCTCTGTAAAACAATTTCTAGGAAAATATTTCCCCTGTAAAACATTTTCTTTCCACCCATTTTTCACCCTTACTATCAAACGGACCCTAAGTGCTTGTTTGGTGATGATTAAAATTAGATTTCTAGTAAATTTTGATAAAAGTCGATGAAATGTGTGGTTGAAAAGTTATGGAACTCAAAAAATACGTGGTTACGTGAATTATTGATTTCGACTTAGATTAAAATCTAAAATTTAATTCTTACCAAGCGGGAGCTAACTTTACTTTATTATGACTCTATGTTGGATGTATAGTATATGCGAGGGTTGGGATGACAAAACACCTCTGATGTTGAAGGATGTGGTTGGCCGTTGGGGTGACAAGTGGGTACAAGATATTGGTTCTTGAATTTGATTTTCATTTTTCCACTTTCACATTCTTCCCTTGTTATATACTTCTCTTCTTTCATTTTCTTACAAACTGATTTTAGTGAAGTAAGAAAAGTTGAAGAGAATAACTCTAAAAAGCCAAACCATATGCAAGACATCGATTATTTAAAATAAATAATGACATGTTCGTTAATGTGAGCGAACTCACACCGAGAATAAAAATTTCGGGACTTAAAAGGTAAAAAAAAAAAATCGATTGGGCATTCAAGGGATTATTTACAAAGTTTGAGGATTGCAGTTCAAAATTTATACTTTCGATTCCATCAACACGACTAAATTAATTTTTGTTCGCTATTCGTCTAGATTTAAGAAAATCGTAACTCGATATGATGATAATTGTTAAAGTTGTAGGAGTTTCGTGTTCAAGACGTGTGAATTTTTACTTCATCTAAAAAGTCTTACGAGAGTACGTTTGAAAATTAAAAAGAAAGCTATGGGCATTTAACACGTCGTCGTAACAATATTTCCAACTGATATGACAAATAAGATGGAAAGTGGGCACGCCTTTTCTGACTTGGTGCAACTTTTTTTAGTTTTACGTTGAAAGTGTTATTCAAAATTTTCAATAATTATGTCCAAACAATCGTGTGGCACATAAGCAATTATATAGGTTAAATCAAGTAGGTAAAATTCACCTTGTTTCAATCTATTTCGAGTATACGTTAGGTCTGGCACTTTTCACATTCATATTTTTTAGATAAAAGTTGATGAAATGTATGGTTGAAATGTTGTGGGATCCATAAAATATATGATTAAAATTAATTGTTGATTTTGACTTTAATTAAAATCTAGATTTTAATCAGTACCAAACAGGGGTTTAATGTGTAATGAATCGAACCTGTCAACTCGAATCTATAATTTATTTAAATTTCGTTGTACAAGAAATCTTCAAGGTTTCAACCATCGAAATTTTGGTAGATGAAATGACTTGAGCGAGGAAAAGATGTCATGTGAATTGTATCCCATTGGTGCATAACTAGGCACAATCTAAGAGTTCTAGTGTCAAGTTGTGCCAATCCTATTCAGTCGAGTAATGTGGTGAAAATCATCAGTTTACACGACAATGAGACATTTGAGTCCTTGTTTAATAGACTCATTAGACCGATAATAAACACTATTGGTTTATTCTATTTACTGTATTAATTTCCTAATTTACTAACCGTATACTCAACGGCCATTAGTCCAAGTCAAGGTTTAATAGTGTCACATCGAATTTAGTGTGGATGCTGGTAACAAAGTGATTAATTATGTAATGTTGTTTAAATTAGTGGCTAAATAGGTCAAAAGAATAGTTTAAGGATCAATTTGAAGATTTGTTTGAACTTCAGCGGCCGTTCATGAAATTGACTCACTTTTTTTTAAGTTTAACCCTGAAAACGTCATTCAAAAATTTCAATCATTGTGTCAAACAATGCTGTGCAGAACGAGAGCAAATAGGTCAAAATCAGCTATGGACAATTCACTCGTTCGAGTCCTTCTCGAGCTTGTGTTTGGTCAAGTACTAACGTAAGATTCACGTTTGGGCCAGCAAATAAGAAAAAAAAAAATATTTCTCTCAATATAGTCGGTTTGAGTTAATGATTTTCTTTTGAATGAAGAGAAATATCAGAGGATTCAATCGTCAAAATCTTGGTGGTTGAGATGCTTTCGGAAATGAAAAGAAATGCTTCAAACAATGAAGTTTCTCTAAACTTTCACTTTCATCACATACAATTTTTCTTTAAATCGGTCCATAAAGTCACCTATAACACGACTTATTTGTATGAGTTATTTTACGCCATGGCGATGCTAATCAATAATGTTGAACAAGTACATATAAGTCACATGTCCCATGCCCATATGTGAATGGATTGGCACAATTCAAGAGTTTATCTTCCAAGTTTTTTCCCGTGAACATATATATTTGTAGCTTTTCTTTTTTCGAACACTACAAGGTTCGAATATTTATTCGTATTGAAATGAAAAGAAATATAAGCTTGGAAAGGAGGCATTTGACATAACCTCCAATCAATATAGATACAATATGAAAAATTTTACTAATCGGAGGACTTGAAGTTGAAAAGTAAAAGAAATAAGGCCCTGTTTGATTCATGATAATATCATAATTACTTCTCTCGATATAGTTCATCCATGTTTAACCATATACCATTTAAGCCCATGTTGAAATCGCTACGTATGTATTGAAGAGCATCACCAGTATATATAAATTCCCGAGGCGTAGAAATATGGTTATGACAGACTCAAGAGTACTCTTTGTAATCCAAGGTGAACATCTTTGGCCGTGAAATTATTTTTCTATTTCCATGTAGCTATGAAAGAAGGAAATTATGCAATATTATGGAGAACGTGAGCATGTCTTGGCTTGCTTTGTTTGGTGAAGTTACTTAAGCAAAGGCGTGTTTCATTTGCTCCAGCATTCTCAACTTTTGCACGCCATCTCTATCATATACGTAACGCTTTTCAGTTATTAAACTCAAGACTCAAGCTTTATGTGCTGCATGAAACATGTTGTCGGTTTTAACTAAATATTGAATTTCTAATAATAAAATATCGTGTAATGTCGAGTCGCATTTACCATTTTCTGCTACTGACTTAGCCTATGTTTGGCAAATGTTTATAATCGACCAAATCACTTTTTATTTATAAATTTCGTGAGAGGCACAACTACTATGTACTTATCCACTACTTATTTTAATCTATTCATAATTTAAGCAGTTTATATACACTGTCCAAACATTCTTTTAGAATCTAACGCAAGTGTGCAACTTGAGTTATTTTAAAGCGTTGCTCACGTTAGTCTCCATCTTTTGCTTTAAATAGTTTGGTATCATGTCAAAATGACATTAAGTAGGGGGAACTCTATATTTATTGCAGGAAGGTAGGCGTCCACAAGTTTGTTCCCAATAAAGATCAAACACGCAGTCAGTTCATGTAAATCACGACGGAGAGAGATCGAGAGATAGAACACAGTAATGGGGAACTGGTGTGGGAAGGAACAAGTTGTGCACCCGGCAATCGATCCTGAGCAGTCGAGGAGGAGTAGCGTTTTGAGAGTGAAGGTCAAGATGAGAGTGAAGGAATTACAGGAATTGATAAAGGAGGTGGAAAAGGATGGGAACGGAATTGATCCCGATACTAAGTTGGGACGTTTGATCTTACGAGAATGCCTAGATGGTCGACTCCAAGCTCGTGTGACACCTTCTACTGAGGTCAAATAC